TTTCTGTCAATACATCTGGTACTGCTCCCTCTCTGCTTTGTGAAATGGAACCAGCTCCCAGAGAGGGGGCATTTTTCTGCTGAGGCCACTGCAGCATCCCTGGGGCAGGCTGGGCAGCCACGGGGAGGAAGGAGCTGGATCTCCCATGCGTGATTTCTCCCCTGTTAGTCTCTCCTTGGGAGGGGAGCAGATAAGAGACATCCTAACTTTCAACCTTGGAGCCTCTGTTTTTGGCCACCCAGCTTTGATTCCCCCTCCCCAGAAGCCTTTATCACTCAAGGAGGAAACCCAAATCCTCTGGGAATTTAGGCTTTTGCTGGGCTTGGCTTGGAGGGAGGGGGAGGCATTGCAAGAGAGAGCAAGCAGAGGAGAAACTTTTTCAAATAAAAAAAAAATAGCAGTTTAGAGCAAACTTTGCACTAGCTGAAGATTTGACCTTGTGTTCTCTCCTAAGAACAAACAAAAGGAGAAGGAGGATCATCTTATTTTGCCTGAAATTTGGAGTGGCTCAAGCCCCTGCTGTTCCCAGCTCCTGCAATGAATGGCTGTAAACAACACGCATTTCCGCAGCACCAACTAAACAGCCAGCCCAGTACTGACTGCAAGAGATGTTTATTTGTCCTCTCCATAAAGAGTTGCACAAGGCCTTACCAAATTTTAACCCCACATTGTTCTTGGGTAAACATTTGCCCTTTGTCCAAGGCGAGGAGAGCTCGCAGCCCAGATCAGCTCTGGGGAACACGCAGCCCCCCAGCAGCACTCCCAGGGCATCAGCACTTCCACACGGACCCCACAGATCCACAGCAGCCAGGTCTCTTGATGGCTTGCAGGTTTCTGACAGTTTTCTGCACCTTTCTGCCAAAAAAACTGTTTGCAAGAAGGTGGGGATGGCCTTGGCCTGCAGAAGCATAGCTGAGCCTGTAATTGAAATCTCAGCGCCTCGCTCGAGTTGACACTGTGGAAAGGGGAAGGGTGAGAAATCATCAGAGCTGTGCTGTGACTTCCAAGCCAGTCAAGTCCCAGGGACAGCCCTGTCCTGAGGTCCTCCTCCCCCAGCTCCCACCCCACACGGAGCAAGTGCTGCAGTGGGTGGGTTGCCATGGGCCATCCCTCACGTGCAGCGATGGAGCAAAGCATTGAGAGCTTCCTCCTCCCAGATTTGCACCCTGTCACACCCAGGATCACTGGGGAACACATGAAAAAGGCTGGGGGGGGTTCATACCAACACATACTTTCTGTCTTCCTCAATTTCCAGATCTAAAGATCCTGCAGTTCTGGACCACCAGTAGGGTGGGGAGTTAGGTCTGCACAGCCATTGGCATCCAAGCAGCCTGGAGTTTTGGGGGGCAGGGAGGGGTTTTGCTGCTCGTGGGGGAAAGGCTGAGTAAAAGCACAAAAATTAAGCCCTGATGCCTCAGTGTGAAAGCCAGGCCAGCTCTCCCTGCCTCACCGGGTGCCTCTGAGAAGTCCTAACCTCCCTGCTTTTGGGGTTGCTTTGGGAGGTTGCCCCCGCTTTGGAGGGATGTTAGCTACAGGAGATGAGATGCTGAACGTGGTTCTCCAAAAAGAACCTTTTTTCTGTGCCTTGTAGAATCACTTCTGAACTCATGTTTGTTCCCTCTCCTGGGTCTGGGCAGAATGTCAAAGCCTGCTCTGAGCTGGAAATATTTTAAGACTAGCACTCACTGGAGACTGAAACAATGGCAATTCTTCAGCTACTGAGGCTTTTATAAAAGGGCTTTTGACAGAGGGGTTGCTTAGGGTTGGGAGCTTTTTTTGTAGTGGTTTTTCTCCCGGGAAGCACTACGCCAGCCTCCCCACGTGTGTTTGTGTGCACACCTTCACCCGTGCAAGAGAATCTGCTGGCTTCCAGCTGGGCCAAACGCCCAGGAGGGTGCCCACAGCCCTGCCAAAAGACAGCCAGCTCTGGCGAGGGGGGAGGCACCCACGGGATGCCACACAGCCACTCAGGAAGAAGACATTTTAGAGTAAATGTCAGCTTCTGCGTTCCTGGGTTTGGGGCTTTTTTTAAACACGTGGGTGGGACTTTTAATGCCCACACGAAGGCGAGACGGTTTCGGTCTCCAGGGCTCATCCAGAAGATTCACACAAACACTATGGAAAGTGTCTCTTTGCTTAGGAGGGTGAAATTTGATACTGTAGAGATTTTAACCCGGAATTCCAGCAAGTAGCCTCCACAGTTAGTGTGTCATATCTGATAAAGGCTAATCAGCCCTCCTTGGGGCACCGTTCAATTCTCATTTTCATCTGCCTCCCGTGCACGTTGAGTTATCTATGATACATCCTCACAAACCAGTGCAAATCCAGCTCTGCTCTTCCCTTGATTGAAGACCAACAGGCAAGGAAAAGGGTAAAGAAGGACCTATTGGACCCCACAACCACAGCCCCTGCAAACAGCCCAGGCAGCTCCCAGCAAGTCCTTCAGCACTGCCTGGAAACCAGCAACGTCCAGCACCAGTCTGCACTGGAGCAGGGCTGGGATCCTGATGGGGAGCAGGTTTCCTGCAGTCCCACTGTGGTCCTGCTTGTGCCATCCCACCGAGTCTTCTCTCCTCGAGGTGTCTGGAGCCTCCTCAACAATTATCCCAGTGGCTGTTTGTTCAGGCGATGTGGATTTAGCTCTCCAGCCTCTTTTTTTGGAAAGATAGATGGCCGCTGCTTTCCAGTATAAATCACATTCCTTACAACACTCCAAAGTAGCATTTTCAACCTCAGGGTGCTAATAGGATCCAGCAGGAGAAAGAAATGTCAGCTAAGTAGCAGGCGCTGTTTGGAGAGTGCAATGGAGCTGATCCACAGCCCCGGGGCAAAAGGAGCAATCCCAGGGCAAAGGTTAAAGAGTTCAGGAGCACTTCAGCCTACTTAATTGCAACAGGCCTCTTACAGAGCCAAGATGGATGGTTCAAACCGGGCAAGGGGGGCAAAGCAGGGCCAGCAGCATCACCAGCTGGAGGCACAGGGGGGACCACGACCGGGGGGACCACGACCGAGGGGACCACGACCGAGGGGACCACAGCATCCCCTCAGCCCACCCCCCCTCCCCTCAGGATCCTGAT